CATGTATTTCTATTCATTTGTCTCCCAGGTCTGTCACCTGCTGGTGTCCGCCCTTTTCCGCTGCCATGTAGCATTTCTATTCATTTGTCTCCCAGGTCTGTCGCTGCTTGTGTCCGCCCTTTTCCGCTGGCCATGTAGCATCAGGTCTGTCACTGCTGGTGTCCGCCCTTTTCCATTGGCCATGTAGCATTTCTATTCATTTGTCTCCCAGGTCTGTCGTAGCATTTCTGTGCGTTTGTCTCCCAGGTCTGTCGCTGCTGGTGTCCGCTGTCACTGGTGGTGTCCGCCCTTTTCCGCTGGCCATGTAGCGTTTCTATTGATTTGTCTTCCAGCTCTGTCGCTGCTGGTGTCAGCTCTTTTCTGTTGGCCATGTAGCATGTCTATTGAGTTGTCTCCCCAGGTCTGTCACTGCTGATGTCCATTTCTGTTCATTTGTCTCCCAGGTCTGTCGCTGCTGGTGTCCGCCCTTTTCCATTGGCCATGTAAGCATTTCTGTTCATTTGTCTCCGAGATGTGTCACTGCTGGTGTCCCCCCTTTTCCGCTGGCGATGCAACATTTCTAAAGCAGTTTGCCATTACGTAGGGTTTCTCAATTCTTTCTCAAGATGTGTCCGCCCTTTCTGTCACTGCTGGTGTCCTCCCATTTGTGCTGGCCATGCAGCATTCAATTCGTTTGTCTTTAGAATCATTTCTTTACTTTTGTCTCCCAGGTTCGGTGCCTGCACTGCTTGTGTCCGCCCTTTTCCGCTGGCCATGCAGTGGTTTTACTGTTGTTTTCCAGGTTCGGTGCCTGCACTGCTCCTTTTCCCTTTCCAGCATTTCTATTCATTTGTCTCCCAGGTGATTTCTGTACTTCCCCAAACAGGCTACTGTTAGGGGTTCTAAATGCTTTCTAAGAGTGTCCACCTTGCTGCTGGACAGCGTGTCCGGCTCACACTGTGTCCCTGGTCTGCCTTTTGTCTCCCTTGGTCTCCCTTCTTGTTGGTCACGGTGTCCCCCTTCTTGTTGGTCACTGTGTCCGCCTGTTCCCCCTTCTATTTCCTTTTGTCTCCGTTCTTGTCTCCCTTCTTGTTGGTCACTGTATCCGCCTTGTCTCCCTTCATTCTTTCTTTGTCTCTGGTCTTGTTTCCATTCTTGTGGGTCATTGTGTCCGTCTTGTCTCCCTCCTGTTTCCTTTTGTTTCCCTTCCCTTCTTGTTCACCATTGTGTCCGTCTTGTCTCCCTTCTGTTATCTTTTGTCTTGTCTCCTTTTTGTCTCCCTCTTGTTGGTCATTGTGTCCGCCTCGTCCCTTCTGCCTCCCTTTGTCTCCGGTCTTGTCTCGCTTCTTGTGGGTCACTGTGTCCGCCTTGTCCCCCTTCTGTTTCCTTTTGTCTCCCTTCTTGTTTCCCTCTTTGTTGGTCATTGTGTCCGTCTGCCTTCTTGTCTCCCTTCATTGTGTCCGCATCTCTCCCTTTGCCTCCACTCTTGTCTCCCTTCTGTTTCCTTTTGTCTCCTTCTTGTTGGTCATTGCGTCCGTCTTGTCTTCCTTCTGTTTCTGGTCTTGTCCCCCTTGTTGTTGGTCACTGTGTCCGTCTTGTGTCCCTTCTGTTTCCTTTTGTCTCCCTTCTTGTTGGTCCTTGTGTCCGCCTTGTCTCCCTTCTTGTCTCCTTTGTCTCCGGTCTTGTCTCCCTTCTTGTTGGTCATTGTGTCAGTCTCGTCTCCCTTCTGTTTCCTTTCTTCTCCCTTCTTGTCTCCCTTCTTGTTGGTCATTGTATCCGCCTTGTCTCCCTTCTGTCTCCCTTTGTCCGCGGTCTTGTCTCCCTTCTAGTTGGGTACTGTGTCCGTCTTGTCTCTCTTCTGTTTGCTTTTGTCTCCCTTCTTGTCTCCCTTGTTGTTCCCCTTCTTGTTGGTCATTGTGTCCGCCTTGTCTTCCTTCTTTCCTTTACATTTGCCTCCTCTCTCCCCCTCTCGCTTGCAACCCTTCACATTTGTCTCCCAGCTGCTCTCCCCTGCAATATTACATTTGTCTCCCAGCTCCGGGCTGCGCGTCACTTGCAATCCTTTACATTGTCATTTATCTCCCTGTCTGTGTCCGCCTCTGCCTTGCAATCCTTTACATTTGTCTCCCACCTCTGGGCTGCTGTGCCCGCCTCTGCCTTGCAATCCTTTGCATTTGTCTTGCAGCGCTGGGCTGCTGTGTCCCCTCTGCCTTGCAATCCTCAATTTCACATTTGTCTCCCAGCTCTGATTTTTTCGCCTTTTTGCCTTGCAATCCTTCACATGTGTCCTCGCAAGCCTTTGCATCTGTCTCCCAGCTCTACACTACTATCCGCCTCTGCCTTCCAATCCTTTATTTGTCACCCAGCTCTGGCTGCATGTCGCTTGCAATCCTTTGCAGTTGTCCCTGTGTCTGCATTTGTCTCCCAGCTCTGGACTGCTGTGGCCGCCTCTGCCTTGCAATCCTTTGTCTCCCAGCTCTGGACGTCGCAAACTCTGCAGGGTGTTCCGATATTGAAAAACACAAACTGTTTGGGGTCTACTGTGGTGTCATTTCTACTGCTTTCCTAAAGATTCGTGGATTTGTAGTGTCTTTCCATGTGTCTCAAATTAACTGCATGTGTAATCATATCCGCCAACCCCAATCTAGTACCGAGAGCGTGAGCGTGAGCGGAACCGGGACAGCGTGCTCAGAATAGTTTGGTATAGGTAAAGCTGGGGCTTGTCCATCAACCAGCGCTTTGCAAAAAGTTGACCAATTTTTGACACATTTTGGACATTGGTCATGTTTGAAAAGGAGTGAGGACCGTCATTTTTTTTGGCGGTACAGGCGGTGTCCAGGCTGGGGTCCCGGGTTCGACTCCCCCCTGCGCACCCCCTGGACACCTGGTGTGGAAAACAAGGCAACCCCAATCCTGCATAGTGGTCCCGCGCGCGTCCCCCAGCAAAGATAAGGCGCCAGGGGGCGCACACGCGCGCGCGCGCGCGTGCGGGACCAGGCGGAGCCTAGACCTGCCAACGGCTAAAATATTCTAGTACGATTGGGTTGTTGTATTAGTTTCTGATGCTTCGATGGAAAAAAAGGTAGTTGTCAGAAACGGTTGAGGTTGAACGGCAGAACAACGCCAAGTAGTACCTGCTAAACCCCGAACCTGGAAATAGTTGAGGTAAAGCCAGATGCAGGTGTGGCGCGGTCGCCGAACCCCCGCGCTCTTCCCTCCGCCTGCGGCCGCTCTGGGGTCGGCGGCCGCGGGCTTAACCCCTGAAATATATATATATATATGGCCAACCACATAGTCAAAACCAGTTGTTCCCCAACAATGCTGTGTTGCTTTGGTGCGTTTCAGAATTGCCCTTTTTCAGGAGTCACGCAAAAATTGTTGCTGGAACAATGCACACCCCGGCTCTAAACTGCTTCTGGGATGACGAATAAACCTTCCCTCGGCAAGTAGGTTCGCGGAATCTTCTTGGTTTGGCTAGTGGCCAATGTGTTTCTGCAAACCTACTCATCCCTTTCCGCTTTTGAATTACAAACGTTCTTGACTATTTTGTTGACGGTTTCTCTTTCCTGTGTCTTTACACCCTCTTTCTTGGCCTCAAAATTGTCAATTCCAATTGGAGGGAGAAGCCTCAAAACACCATTTCTGTGATACCAACATTGTTGGCACCAGGGCCAGGGGTTTCCAGAAATTTGGAATTAGGTGGCTGCTAGCTACCAAACCAGCTGAAAACTTTGAAAACTAGGACGTGCTAGGAGTCGTCGCCTCCCTGTCAACCCTTCTGTCGGTAACCATCGCACCTTGGGCTCTGCGGCCTTCAGCAGCAGCAGGCTGGCCAAGTCTGTGGGCCGATACCAGGTGACCTGTGGGCGGATGAAGACGAACCTGGTGAGGTGTCTTGGAGCCATTTGGAGGGATGCGGACTTAAAGGACATCACCTTCTTTGTGATATCCCTTACCTCACACTTTGTAAGCTTCATTATATCCAAATTTGCAACAAGTTTCTATCAAGTGGCAGTGACATTGTCATGCCAAGTGTTTGGCCCGGTCTACTCTTTGGAAAGATGAAGAAGGCCATGTCACCACCTAGATTGAAAGGGTATCCCCGGCGTCCCCGCAGCTTCGTAGGTTCTGGGCAGCTCTGTTTTCACAGTATAGACACTCCCGAGCTCCACAGAGTGAACTGCATCTGAGTCTTGAACGAAAGCATGGTTTATCAAGGTCCCAGTCAGTTTCGTGGGATGTGAACAACTTGCTTGCGCTTGGTGCTGTGATTTTTGACATGACAAATGAAATCCCCTCCTAGTTGCCGGATCCCTGAACCACATGGCATCCTAACTTGGTAGGACCAAAGCGCATGGGGCCACAACTTAATCGGATGCAAGGTGAGTCTGGTCAAGTGGGGCATGGGCCCCACCCTGGATTCCGATGAATGATGATTGTTGATCTGATAGGTCTCGAATCTCACTACACTCACTGCATTTGTTCCACTGTTATAGTGCAGGTCCCTCAGTCTTCAAGGAAACTACATGGGTATGGTCCGGTCCAAACAATGGAAGTCAAAAAAAGGCTGGAACCGTCATGGTGTAAAGTTTGTCACAAAGACACTGCAGGAATGCACAAACGGTTAAAGGTCGCTCCCATTCCACATGGATCTGTTTCAAGAGGAGGCAACTCTCCAGTTCGGCGCTCTTTTGGTGAAGAAAAATAGACAACCAGACCACTGGGCCAGTGGCTCGGCACTTTGAGGCAACAAATCACTTCATGCGCAGTCAACACAATGGGTACTATTCTCCACCGTCGCCGGTGATCAGTACATTGCCTCAGCCAAATCGAGGTCCCGATGAAGGACATGAAGGTCCTCCACCACCCTCCAAACTAGGAATGAAACGCGTATGTAAACATCGACACTGAGTGGTCTGAGTGTCAAGATCCATCCTACAGAACACCCCAAGCCTGCCCACCCCAACCCTCGCCCTCTGTTGCCTTGCTCCCTGAGATCTTCAACGGTGCAAGGCCACATTTCAAGGCCTTTGGAAGACCGTCCGCTCAGAGTGTGGATCCAAAGTGACTTGGGGGGGGCTAGGAATTCGGATCTGTTCCTACGAACCGAGGCCACAGTTCCACCAGACTCCTTCACCCCACCTCGCATGAACAATCACCAGGATCAACTGGCCTACAAAGCAATGTATGAGGAGCCCGGCCAAAGGACTGCATACGATATCATACAAACATACATCCACACTTTGGTTCTGGCTTCCAGCGGCAGCTAGATGCGGACTAAATGTGGTAAGCAGCATAGCTTACAAAATGTAGCATCACATTGTGTAGACCCTGTGTAGAGCATCTCAATGCGGTAAGGTATATAGAAGCTACTAGTAACAAGATGTGAGAAGTGCATCGCTGGTAGGAACAGGTGCATCACTACTAGTAGAGTGAGCGATGCACTTGTTCCTAATAGCTTCTTGTTACTACTAGTAAGGCCCTTGCTCCTAGTAGCGATGCACTTGTTTCTAATAGCTTCTTGTTACTGCCCAGCTTTCCTGCTTAGCTCCAGGCCTCGGGAAAGGGGACCGCCTCCACTTTCGCCTCCACCCCATCAAGGCTCCTTGGAGTTGGTCAGACCCACAAGCGCAGGGATTCGGTGCTCAAACATGTGAACAAGACTCCTACAGATGGGATAATAGTTTCCAAGTCCGATCCAGATCGATCTGTCGGACAAGAAGACTTTAGAGATATCTTTTCAAAGGTCCTCATGTCCACACAATTTGGTTCGCCTCACGATGCCCTCAGTAGCTTTGAAGAAAGAAGAAAGTTCCAAAGACTCAAAGGCTTGTTCTTGGTGAACACAAGTTACATGCATATACATATACTGTATATATGATTTTTTAAAAAAGAACGTGTCGTTTTGTTCATGACTTCCCGGCCCTGTTCTTTGAACCTCATACCTTGGACTCCGCTCTGGATGGTCTGCGCAGTGGAGGCCCAAACCTTCACGTTCTTCTCTTCTGAGGGCGACCTAGGCCGCGGCCGAGGCGACCTGCCCTGGAGGAGACGGTACAAGTGACCTCGGCAAAAAAGTGAGGCCCTTTGTTACTAGTAGCTTCTTGCTACTAGTAGTAGTAAGGCCAAGAGCTACTAGTATCTTCTTGCTCCTAGTCAGTAGCGATGCCCTTTCTTACTAGTATCTTCTTGCTACTAGTAGTAAGGGAATGAAAAGTGAGAGAAAAACTGCTGAAGATCATTTGAGAACCCATGATGACCCGAGGAAGCTTTCAATGCCACTTACTTCCAAGATCCTGAAAGACATCCGCCCATCGGGGCTCTGAGATTTAGCTTGCAGTTAAAACTTTGTCAAGTTTCTGGCTTTGGGGGTCATCTACTGTTACTTTCGACGTTGTGCGCAACCGAAAGGAGCTGGAAGAGCTCCAAAAAAGGGTGAATGGTCATTGTGCAAGTGGTCCTTTTGTTGGATGACTGCTATGACAGTCTATGGTCGTGATGTTGCTGGGTGTGGTCAAGGCATCCAAAACTTCACTGTGTCTTCTCAGGGAATCGGCACCTGCAAGTAGGTGTGAACACGAGCAGGTAATCCAGCGGAAGTCTAACTCTCATTGACTCGGTACTGTTCTGCTGCCAGAAATGCTCTTGGTCTGTTGAGGTCGCATGGAATTGTGTTGAACAAGTCTTGTTTGTCGCGGATTGTTTTTTCCCGCATATACTTAGGTTCTGCATAATAGCCCTAATTATGCAGTGCGGCCTAACCTAGATAACCGAGCGGGTGGTACAAATGGTGTACCACTGACCCTATGCTGATTGCCACCCACAGCAGAAATCAATAGAGAACACATTCCGGAAACCCATTGGAATTGCAGATGGCCACCTCTATTGATCCCAAACTCCAACAGCAGGAATCTTTGGGAGGTGGACGCATCCATTTGCTGCCATGCTGCCCAGATGGAGGGGTGTCTGGTGTCGTTGGGCAGGAACCCTTGTTGCAACAAAAGGTCTTGGCCGCGTCCAGGATGGGTCGATAGCCCGTGCACCTGCAAGATGAAACACTGTTCCTGACTGCGGTAGACATGTCAGGATCAGGTTTGACACAAAACATTCAGAACACGCCGAACCAAGTTCTTTTATATCTGATTTCTGTTAACCGGTATTTAGCAGCTCAGGTAGTAGTTCCCAGATGTCATTTGCCAAGCAAGTCCCACCAAGATATGGTATGCGTATCAATGTCAAATCTCTTAGAAATACGTTTCCCACTTCTTTTTGCTGCTGTGATTGGTTCACGTGGCTGGCAAGACTCTGCAAGAACTCTTCGCTTGGGCATGGCCATGCGGAAACTGCAGTCCGACCGGTCAAACTCGTTCTTGTCCTTTTTCGATCTTTTTTGGGGGGTCGTATTTTGGAAGTCGTGTTGCGGCAGGTGCTTTTTGATGCCTTTTGTGGTCAAATGTCACGCCCTGTCAGATGTCACCAGTGTTCAGAGCAAGTTGGAAGTCCACCCAAGGCAAGCCGATTGGTTGGTCCCCCAGAATGTGGGAATGCGAAAGGGCCCGCCCTCAACTGGACCCACTCCGATCCGCCTACAAAGGTTGCCGTCAAAACTGGACTCGATCTCGGACAGCGTTGGCTTTGGTGACCTGCAAAAGGAGCTCTTTGCAGAAGATAAACAAGCAGACCACATCAGTTCAAATGAACATCTGCATTGCTGCATGAGTTTAGATGGTATTCGGCTTAGGTTTCAGTAGATTCACATCGTTCCGGAGCCCTGCCTTTCCAACTCCCTCCACAAGAGCAATTTATGTAAGTCTTGTTTGGCAGGTGAAGGTTGCACAATGGACCTATTGGTCTCCCTGGTCTCCCGGGGGACGGTGTAGGGAGCTGAGATTGCACCAAAAACCCTGGAACTGTGCAGACTAGCTGACTAGCTACAGATTTGGGGCGGCCGTGCCATCTACAGTACTTTGCAAAACAAATAACAGGTTGGTTGGTGCCACCCGTCAAGGAGACTTTCCTTGGGCCACTCTCGGCGGGTGGGTGTAATGCAAGTTCCTAACACCATCGGGAACATTATTGAAAGTTAATCGCCACGGCAAAACAGGGTCCAAGGATGTCTATGGTCTAGTCGGGTCTCCCGTTGCGCCGGGACACGCGCACTATCAAAAGCTATCTTCCTTCAAAAGCAGGAGCATCTACCCTTGCACCTATCCGGCTAATAGCCCTCACGACACAATTTGAGACCCAGACTAAACCGAACTGAGGGTCAGTCTGTACAGTAAATGCTTGCCAGTTTCTCCTGCCGGGAGATTGGCCCTTCGTTTGTTTCCGCTGCTTGCACAGCGCCTGCAGAGTGTGGTGTAGAGAGACATGATGATCCCTGGAGTGCAGAAACCGCACCTGAGCTGCTGAGACCAAGGCGAATATGCAAAGAAAAGCAAACAACTTACATATATACATAGGATGATTCAAAGCGCAATAATTATGTTGCACTTTGTCCCAAGAAAAGAATAAACACTCCATGTGCGCCTTCGTGTTTGTTCTTCACAGCACGCGGCTTTGAGTTTTGGTGCCAAACACCTACGTAAAGAAACGGGCGCACTGGGCACAAGTGAGACCCCGCACCTTCCTCCAGCACAGAAGTTTTTTCTTTCCTCAAAATGTGATCCCTCGCTCCACGCATCTTCACACCATGAAATACCCTCAAATCAAGACAATGGCTAACCATTCCTTGCAATCAAACAGTTGGGGCATACCTTCAAATTCTCTTCACTTCACCGAAACCTGAGACCAACGAACTCTGAGAACTCCAAGGCGCTGCGACCCGTGGAGCTCCGCCACGCGGCGCTGCGCCACGTGCGGCGCAGAGGCCGTGCCAAGGCCCTCCACAGTGGTGACCTGGCAGCCTCGGAAAGTGAAAAGAAAAGCATCAAAACTAGCAGCAATGGCCCCCAACCAAGGGAGCGATGGCCTCCAACCTAACAGCAGTAACCTCCAGGTTGCGATGGCCTCCAACCAAGGGTGCGATGGGCTCCAACCTAATAGCAATGGCCTCCAACCTAGAAGCGATGGCCTCCGACCTAATACCAATGGCCTCCAACCTAGAAGCGATGGCCTCCGACCTAATAGCAATGGCCTCCAACCTAATAGCAATGGGCTCCAACTGGAAGCGATAGCCTCCAACCTAATAGCAAGGGCCTCCAACCAAGGGAGCGATGGCCTCCAACCTAATAGCAATGACCTCCAACCTAGAAGCAATGGCCTCCAACCTAGTAGCAATGGCCTCCAACCTAATAGCAATGGCCTCCGATGACCTCAAACCTAATAGGAATGCCCTCCAACCTAGAAGCGATGGCCTCGAACCTAATAGCAATGGCCTCCAACCTAATTCCAAACTAATAAATAGCAACGGCCTCCATTCTAGAAGCGATGGCCTCCAACCTAATAGCAATGGCCTCCAACCTAGAAGCGATGACCTCAAACCTAATAGCAATGGCCTCCAACCTAGAACCGATGGCCTCCAACCTAATGGCAATGGCCCCCAACCTAGAAGCAAGCCACTGCAGCTCAAGTCGATTCGATTTCCACCTCGACATGT